TATCTTTTGAACAACGGTTCCATCTTCTAACTCTTCACCGTAACACCGCATCTTGTTGACTATTGTCATAGTCCTTGAGTAATACTCAGCAAATTTCTCACCATCCTTCATTCGAAGTAATTCATACTCCGAACGAAGAGTTTGAAGCTGCAGCTTCCTTGTCTTTGCATTTCCTTGACATTTCTTCTTCATGGATTCCCAAATATCTTTGGAGGTTTCCTTGCAAGGAATGGTCTCCAAAATAGCCCGTTCGATTGATTGAAAGAGGTAGTTTTTAGCTTTAAGATCCTTCAGTTTTAAAGCTTCCAACCTCGTCCTTTGGCCTGCCGGCATCTCAGCGGTGGGAGTTGCTGCTCCAGTCTCCACCACAGCCCAAAGCTCTTTGGACCGGAGAAAGTTTTCCATCAACATGCTCCAATGATCGTAGTGACCATCAAAGCGGGGAATAGAAGGTTGAACAAAGCCTTCAGATGCCATGGATCAATTGATATTGCTGCTGCAGTGAATTTAACCTGTCTCTGATACCAAATGTCAGGTATAGATTCTTTGAGGAATATAAACAAACACCTACTGTGCACTAATTAGGAAGAGGAAATTATAGCTTATATGAAGGGAAATCTTTCTCTGTGAATGATAAAAGGAATCAGAGAATTGGGAAGAAGAAGTGATATATTTATTCAGGATGATACAGCCTTTAAATAGGCACTAATACAACTGATTCCTACAAATTAGGCACTAACAGATCATGTAGAAAATTAATCCCATATGAATAGGACAACTCTAATGAAGCCACTGGCTTATTCCAAAAGAATAGGACAACTCTAACAAATGAAATGACTGATTCAATACAGTCAATTATTCAACACAAGGACGGCTCCTAACGTACCCGGGACCATTGCCTCGGGTTCTGGAGGGTCCGGCTCTGTTTCTGTTTCTTCTCGCGACGATATCGGTCGGGGCAATGGTTGAATAACTTCGGGTGTTCAATATTCGAGAAGAAGAGAGGATGAAGCGAAAGGAGGAGAAGGACAAGATCAAAATCATGGAAACCGACCTTTCTACGTTTTCGGGCTTCAAATGAATGATCTTCGAGAGAAGACAAAAAGAGATCAAGGCCAAATATAATTTACCTTTGTTTTTTTATTAATGTATCTTTTTTATCATTGTTGCTTTCTTTTTTTTAATTTAATGAACGTAATTTTTTAAAATTATTGTCGTTTCAATTTTTTTAAATTTAATGAATGTATTTTTTTATTATTCATGTTTCAATATAATTAAATAATAAATTAATTAAATTTTATTAATTTAGTTTTAGAAGATGTATTTTTAAAAATGTAAAAAATAAAGATTTGAAGCCCCATTTTGAAGGTCCGTGGCTTCAAACCAATTTCCACTGAATCTGTGAAGTAAGTTAAAACTGACGTGGCAGAGAAAGAAATTTTGAAGCACAGGGCTTCATGGGTATTTTCAGTGTTCTTATTGGGGTGAATGATTGTATGAGGACAAGTGGAAGCAACGTCCAAATAATTGAATATGTGTACGAGAGGCTCTATATAGTACGTATTTAATTATCACCATGCAAAAAAGAGGCATGTTCTCCATCCCTAGGAGGATTGAACAACTTTCTCTACTGGGCCAAAAAATAGAAAGTCTTAATTAATTAATGTACCCTAGTAGAGAGAGAGAGAGAAAGCATGTAGATTTAATTTGAAAGTGTGTCCGTCTTTAATGTCATTCTATCTGCCTTATCTCTTGCTCTCTCTATAATTAATAGTAATTAATTATCATTAATATGGACGAATGGATTAGGGAGGTGGTTGGTGCGAGAACTTGACCTATTGCTTGACCTACGGCTCCGGGTGAGCGTTCCAGAAATCCGGATCCAGTTTACTTTAATGGTGGCATATTGAGCAGCCGGAAATTCTAACCGGATCCACTTCATCACTTCATTGAAACAGTGCAATTCATTCCTAATCAAAGGGTAATGAAGGAATACAAATGACAATTCCTTTAACTTAAATAAAAGTAAAAAAAGAATACAAAAGATATACTCCCTCCGTCCCAAAAAGATTTACACGTTTCAAAAAAATTGTGTCCCACTAATGGTGTAAATTACCACGCAAATGTTAAGTGATCGGAAGGGTTGTAGGTGGAAACACCTGTAACCCGATTTGTTATTAATGATAATAGGAGTTATTACAAATACAAGCCGTGCAGGTTCATTAAAGCATGCCTCACAAATGAGGCTTTTAGGAGTATTTATAATAATCCTAAGCACGCCAAGCATGTCTCTGATTATCCAACCGGTCTCTCGGCTGACCGGTCCTCTAGGCGCACTCCAAGAATAGATCTTCAGTGGTTGGCTCCGGCCAACCCCTCCAACCGGGCAAACAACCCGGGCTGGGAAGGGTGCGCGCTGTCACTTCCATCGCCACCCAGTCGGGTGAACCAACCGGGTGGTATCCATGGGTTATTACCCATCACCCACAATCCCTTACTCAAACCACTTTTACTCTTTACTTTTTCAAACTCTACCTATCACATCATACTTTTTTCCTAATAATCTACACATCACATCCTACTTTTACCCATCACATCAAGGGTATTTTTAGAAAGTCAACACAAAATTATCCATTCCTTAATTTCAACTTTAGTCAAAATGGGTAACACTTTATGGGACGGAGGGAGTAATAAAAATGGATGGAAGGGAGAGTGTGATCACACGTCACCCCCTTACAGAGGATGAGATGTGATAAGATTGGCATGCATGCCATCATCATTTTTTTCCCCTTAGATTCACTAGACGAATCCATGACTGCGCCCTACCTTCACTTTTGGCTTGGTCAATTGCCGAGAATTACCTGTTGAATACGAACCATGAAACTCAAATTGAAGAGTTTTACCGTTGGTCTTAGGTGTGGCAATATGAGAATCAATATTTCATTAATTAAAAGAGTGCAATTCATTTCTAATCAAAGGGTAATTAAGGAATACAAATGGCAATTCCTTTAACTAAAAAAAGTACATCAATGACCCCAAGTCATATTCTCTTAAACTAGCCTAAGCAAAAAATAAAAAAACACATGACAAATTGCAAAACGAAAACGGCCAGGAGACCGGACGAAGACGAAGACCCAGAAGACCCAACCGTGGTCAATATGCACCGGGCAGGCGACCCATCCAAGGTTCTTCAGTTTATTTATAATCATACTCCATACCCATCTCAAAGTCTGGTTTCAGTTCCGATTCCGTTCGCGGTTTCGAACATGAAGAGTATCCACCCTACTAGCTATATAGAGAGAAGTAAGGTGGATCTCATTGCTTTTCTTAATAGAGAGAAGTAACAAATACTTATGGAGTAATAAGTATGGAATGTTCATTTTTCATCAAACAATAAAAGAGTGGAATATATTACTTAATATAGTAAAATTATGCTTTTATCATTTATTTAACATGAAAATGGATTATGCATTTCGTTTTACCTCGGTGTACATATTTTAGTATTATTTTTTTCATATTGAATTTAGGCTTACGCCTCATTCCGCCTCCAGGCATTTTGTTCCACCGCCTCGAGTCTAGTTTTCGCCATTCAAAACCTTGCTTGGAACCAAACTTTCTAAATTTAACATGATGTTAAAACACAATATTTGTCTTCAAAAAATACAACATTGCACCTTGATTGCTCGCGTGCAGCTGCCATGGTTGATGCTCCAATACCTGATCTCACCATCCCTTATTGGGATGGAAATCAAGTGTGTTACGGAACGAGAATTCGTTCCTTGGCTTGCACGCACACTGGAAGGCCGAATCCTTTGAGGATTTGGTTTAAGTGATTTCCTAGTTTATTTTGGTCTTGTACTCTGTGTTTCCTAGTTTACTGGTTTCCTTCTAGGATTTGGATTCTTGGCTTATAAATAGGGTAGGAGTTTTCTGTATTCAACACAACCCTTGGAGAAATAAACAAAATGCTTCACAATACTTTTATCATGGTATCAGAGCAAATCTTCTGAGACCTGTGTCGACTTAATTTTCTCGGCCAACGAGCACCACCTGCATCTTCCGATCAACAGACATGGCGGACGAGAAGGTCGAGAAAACTGAAAAACCTGTTTCACGAGTTTTCAGTGAAGAGGAAGAAATCGGAGAAAAGCAAGTCACAAAGATAAGTCCATATGAGCTGAGATCTTCGGATACTCCTGCTCTCGTCATCACCCAGATTAAATTAACTGGAGATAACTATGAAGAATGGGCCCGGGCGGTGCGAATAGCTCTCCGAGCCAAAAGGAAGTTTGGATTCATTGACGGATCCATTCCTCTCCCAGAAGAAGACGAAGAAGAAGCTGAAGAATGGTGGATCGTGAACGCCATGTTGGTGTCATGGATCTTTAACACCATAGATGGATCTCTCAGAAATTCCATCACACAAGTAGAAGAAGCAGCCCAACTCTGGAACGACATCAAGGAGCGGTTCTCCGTTGCAAACGGACCTAGAATAAACCAGTTAAAAAGGGAATTGGCAAATTGCAGGCAGAATGGTCAGGCTATACCAACATATTTTGGTAAACTCAAGAGCATATGGGATGATCTCGGCACGTTGGAAAAATTGCCTACGTGCTCCAAGTGCCGCGGCTGTAACTGTGGCACGCTGAAACAAATCGAGATACAAAAGGAGAATGAGAGGGTGCACCAGTTCCTGATGGGACTTGACAACGAGGGGTATGGAAGTGTACGATCAAATATTTTGAGCACCGTACCTTTGGCTCCACTTAATC